ATCTGCTGGGTCGTAGTATGCAAGCTATCAGTTCTGACACTGCAGCTAATGAATTTCAGAAGTGGCATGAAGTATGTGACATGAAGATGTGTTGTAATAATAGAGTCATTGTTCAACCATCGGCATATAAAGCTGGTAGTTCTTATTTGGCATGCATTACTTACTACAGTATTGCTAAACCTGGTTGATGATACGATACGTTATTCATTTAGGCAATATTGGTAAATTAATACTTCATTAGGAAAAAAGGAGGAGTCAATTGAATATGACATAGTGAATTGAGCTGAGAATTCTATGCTTTTGGTTTGCACTCTAAGCTAATCACGGATTTATGTACTCTTGTAATGAGAGAACCTCTTTCGAATTGTCATGCTCACGGAGGCAACAAAGATGGATGCAAATGTTGACTACAATAATTCGAACTGTAAGAAAATGGCACGAAAGTTAGTCAAGTTTGGGGAATGAATTCTGATGCGAATAGTAACAACAACATTTAAAGCGAAAATGGCTCCAGGCTCACATATGGCATCAATGCACAAAGCAGATGATTAACTTTCCTCTGTTAACTGAAACATGGGGATGGAAAGAAGTATACCTGCAACCAGTTTCCCCAAATAACAAACAGTCTGACACTGATAATGGAGCAGAAGTTGTTGGTGAAAACAGTGAAGCAGAAGGCACAGATGATAGTGACTATGACTTTGATGCTGACTCAGATGGAAGTTAGGATGACTTTTAGTTTTCAGTATTGAAATTTATGATGGAGTTGGACCATAATAGAACCTTTTTCGTTGCGTTTGTTTAACTTTTATATGGTTTCTGGCCACAGTTACTTTGTTTTATGGAGCGAAGCGCCAAAATTGTTGATTTGTTTAGTTCTGCCACTTTAAGAACACCATTTTGAATTTTTGATGATCAGTGATGCTCGTTTTAGAAGACCATATCGATACATTGTAGCCAAAACATTGTAAAAAATTCGCCATTTTGAAAAATTCCGCCATTTTGAAATTTTCGGCAAATTTCAAGATGCCCCAAGTCTTAATCTATTCCAGCATGTTTCTTGGCAAGGAATCCGAAGAGAAAACCTTGACAGGAAAAAAGACCTAATTTTTCCAACAGATGACCTGTCTATCAGCTGTTTCACTCGACACGAAGACTTCCTTGCAATGACAAATGCTCTTGTGCTGACTCAAGTTGGACCATTGCTGAAGGATAGCAGTGGCCGTTCTTATAAACAACGCACAGGGCAAAGCAAGAATGGGTAAGATCCATCGAACATTATTCAGTTATAACAATCAAAAGCATATTAAAGGAATGCATTTCAAACTTCTAATTACTTCAAGTATGGGAAAATGATCCACCTCTGAATAATAATTGCCCTTTGTTAAAATTTTGCCAATAAAGACAAAAATTCGAAACTGAGTAATACTTATCTAGCCTGATTCTTTCAGGAATATTTTGCAAGGGGCCAAAATGATCATAAATAGACAGTTTTTATTATTATTTCAGGTATCTAAGGGCAGTTGCATACCGCTGGATTGCCAGGTGGCTATTTGGTTACATTGGATGGGACAACCGAAGAGCCCTTCCTGCTTGTGTTTATGAGCATATTCGCTCTAAATTTCCATCGCACCAAAATACAGGGTTTGCCCAAGTACTGGGGCAACAATGAGATGGAAAGGTTGGTATCTTCTTTTGCCATTTCAAGATGCTTTTTCCCAAATTTTATGCTGTTTCTGTTCTTGAAAAACTATGTCTATATGATACCAGTATATAAAATTACAATTTTGTTTAACAAAGCATTAAAAAAATTTTATTACTTTTTGATCATATACAGACTGTCACAGGGTTATAATTTGTATGAGTTGAACATTTTCATCAAAAATCTTTATGTTCATAATGACGGCGAGATCCATTGAATTACTGCTCATCAGGACAATGATCACGAGGATGCCCTTCTTTCAATCGTTTGCATTTCTTGCACTTTGGTTTTGCCCTTGTTTGCTTTGGGTTGGCACTTTCATTTGTGTCCAAAGACTCTATGAGTTGATGTTGTTCCGTCTCTGTTGATGATAAAACAATATGTCATGGGCTGTCAGAGGGAATGTAAATATTGCTCTTGATCAGATTAGGCTTCAGTTTATGAAACAAAAAATCATTATTCCACTGAGCCAAACAAGTATTATGACTATTGGAATAAGTATTTATATCTATATCTGTCTCAATGTTTAATCAACAATATCTGGTTCTTCTAGATAGAGATGTTGTAACTGATTATTCCTTATAATAGACATACCACTTGGGAAAAGTTAGTGACAGTTGATTTCCTTTGCATTTGGTGACTAATTGCCTCTTCTCTGCTTCGTCTATTTTCAAACTGGCTTGTCAGTGACTCTGGGGCGTCTTGTTTATATTTTGCAAATGTTGCAGCCAGTTCATGTTTTTGGGTTCCAATCATAACTTCCTTGATACTATTTACATAATCTAAAAAAAACATGCAAGTTTGATATGTCTGACTTTCCTACATATCAACAGATATATCTTCCTGTCTGCTTGGCTTATGATTAATTATATAATATGCTTACACAGATCAGGAATGCAGGGGTAAAAGAAAATATACAAGATTGAGTGAAAGTTGTGAGACAATGAACAATGGTCATTAAAGAAGCTATTCAACAAAGGAGAAGAAAATGAACCTTGCAGCTTCAAATTTGAATAACTTACCATACGTTGGAGGAATTGCTACTTCGCGAACTACCTCATCACTATTTATATTTTCGTTGAAGTGCAGGATGGCCAGTGCATGTCTATAATAAAAGAAATAATGTCATGCTAAGTCATGAAAATTAAACTTTTCCCCTCCATCACTTAACAGAGAAGTTGCAGTCATAGTTTTGTGTTTGGTAGATAGTTACCTGCATTTTGTGCCAAGCCATGAGAAGTGTGTCATTTTTGGATGCCAGTGATTCAGTAGGGAATGGAACCCCTCGAGACAGCTTGTCTGGGCATCTGATGACAACTTCTTTATGTCACCCAAGATTCTCCTGTTCGTCAGTATCAGATTTAATCGATCATAAACTGCTGTACCTTTGGAAAAGAATGGAAGAATGAATTTGTGTCCTGAATTACAAGAACTTTGATTTACAAGGCATAAACAGATTTTTAGAATACAAGCATCAGCTGCAAAAGCATCAATTCCTTAATATTGCTAATGAGTCTCCAGACAGTCACCCTTTACCTGAAAATCACTAACAGATCAACAACTTGATAGCTAAGTCTGAACCTACAAAGTTGATGCCATTGAAGACCACTTTTTACCTTTGTATATCCAATAACGGGGTTCAATTTCAGCATGTGCACATTCTTTGTAAAAGCAGATCTGGATGATCTATCTGAGTGCTTGTCTGTGACGTGACATGCAAATGACTTCCATTTTGCCAGAATTAGCTCACCAAATCCTTGTTTTGTCGATGTGGCACACCAGTAGAGATGCTTTTTTATCCCTTTTATCAATGCTGTGATAGGTTCATTGCCCTTCTCCTTGCTGGCCTTCAGAAGCTGTTTGGTGATACTTTTTGATACATGCCACAGGTCGTGATAATGATTTGTTTCAGGCTGTGATGTTCTGATCCACTTTGCAATGCCTGTGTGACGATCACTTATGAAGTTTTTTATGGTAAGGCCCGTATTTTGTATGAAATGGAAACATTTTTGTCCACCCAATAGTTCCATTTTACTGCTGCCACCAGCCTCATTTGCCTGATAATTAGAAAGTTTTTTATTATATTTACTTTGCCAAGGATTTGAATACCCAAAGACATTATGCCACTGTACACAATATCAATTTTTGTAAATTGAAGATAATTTTTTCCAATGGTTAAGTTGCAACATGTATGAATAAGATTATACAGCCTTCCCTTACTGGATATAGCAATCTTATCAATGTCCACTATGACATTTTGAAAATGGTTTGGAGTTTAAAATGTGTACACTAAGGCCTCTGAATCTGGAAAGTGCTTGGGACTAAATATATGGGCTTAGTTTCTTGAAGTATAAAAACAATGTCAAATATTTTCAACAAAACTGAGTTTCATATTGGTATTTCATATTGGTAGGCTCTATTTCACATTAGTCGTTTAAAAACTAAATACTATTGTTGCCTTGAATGTGAGCTACAGTTTTAAATATATTTGTATATTTTATTAAATACTACCTGTACTACTTCAAAGTGAATTAGTTTTGACATTGAATTGCAGAACATGGTGTATGACCCATATTTGGCACTGTGACCCATGGAGTCAAATCGTCCGTCTCCCGACCACTGTGCATCCTTAATGCTCTTTATTTTTTCGATCAATGAATCTCGATTTCTTTCCCATTGCAGTAAAACAGATGGAATAAGAAACTGCCTTTGATGCCTGAAGAAAGTGCGGATTGTTATTGCTGCCAACCCCATGTGCTTGAACATCAAGAACACTTGGCTGATGTTAACGCCTGAAGTTAAAATCCCAAAACTCATCATTAAATTACCAGCAGGGATACTTCCAAGCACAAGTGGCTGACTTCTCCACTTAAATTCATTTTTACATTTCTTACATGTCTGTATAACAGTAGCCATTGACCCGGTTTGTTTGATTGTAACTTCCGGACTATCTTCTTTGCAATTGAAACAGAATTGTTGGAAGATCTGCATCAGCATTCCAAAAAACACAATAAATTTTGGTTGGTCAACATCCTTAGTGCCAAGTTCACATCTGTAAGGCAGATCAAGTTTTTTAGTTTAAAGTCGCTAATGTATTTTTAATTGATAATAGAGAAATACAACATAGTTTTTACTTGCCACACCAAGAAAAAGTAGTCTGGATTTGCAAAAACTAATCTAGATTTGCAAATACGAGAGACTCATTTTATATTAATGGTTAATAAGGAATTATTTTCTTTCGCAGACCTTTAGCACCCAAAATTGATGCCTAAAATTCAATTTACTTACCTTACAGTATTTTGAGAGTTTTCTTTTGACATATCTGTTTCTTCATCTGATGAAAATTCTTCCTCCTCCAGACTTGTCCAGTCTGTGTCATTCTCATTAAATTCATCTTCTTCATTATCATCATCCTCATTGTCATCATCACAACCAACAGACAATTCTGAGAATGTTCTCTTTCTTGCCAACATTGTGTCTTCATTCTCATCACTGCTCTGTTGCTCCAAACTTTGGTCTTTGGGCAAGCTCTATTTTAAATCAAATTGAATCAATTTACAGAAAAAGATAATCCCAAAAATAGTGAATACATTAAGAATCATGTAGAAACAAGAAGAGATTTCTAAAAAATGGTAATTTGGGGGACCTTGCATTCCCTGGGAGGTACTCTTTTAAAAATTAATTCCCCAGAGGATCATTATCTAGATTTCCAAATACGTTTTTTCCTCGACCACATTTAAAAAACCAAAATATACAGTGTCAGTATACCGTTTGCCTCCACAAATGGTAGCGTTTTCCGAAATATTCCCCTGCTGCCTCCCCCTCCCTCCCAATTAGTTTCCTTCCGGTTTAAGCTAATAGAAGTAAAAGTAGAAAATGATAAAAATACATATTTTTAAAACTTATTTTTGCACTGTAATTTGTGCATGTGCAATTTCTAAATTTCTAAATTATAGATGAAGTTGTACGTACACCACTCCTTAAATCCAACAGTTCTTGGAGATCGTATTTTCGTTTTTTAGCGTAGTATAATTGTTTTTGAAGTTTGACAATTTTCCTCTGCCTGATATGACATTCATCGCAATCTTTCAAGCAAGCCTGTTCACGATTTTCTGCGTTGTATACTGGTACTGGTTCATCATCTGAGTCGCAATCCGGCTTATACGAGTCTGACAAAAACTCACGGACCTCTTTCTCTTCGTTTTTACTGCTATCTTCGTTATTAATGTTTCGAATTATCTAAAAGAAGAGGAAAAATGAAATTTTGTATTTACTTTTTTATCTTAAACGACTAAGAAAGTTACGTTTGAAATATTTAAACGAAATGTAAACAAAAGGCCATCCTACCTGTCTTTTCGCACGGTCTGGCAGTTTCTCTTCTTTTTTGCTTTCATTTGCAGCATCCACAGTTGGAATAGCATCTGGCTTTAATTTTATCTTCATTCCCAAAGATATCGCCACATCCCGTCGTGTAGTGAAGCAAGAATCTTCGAAATGAACTCCACACAAAACGGCTTGATTTGACTCGGGAGTCCAATTAGGCCGATACCGGCGAACGAAGCGTACCCATTTACTGAACCTCTCTGGGTATTTATTTTTATCGGGGAAATGGTGTATGGATTGACCGAGTGTTTACTGGCTGTTTCCACAACTAACTCCTCCTGGGCCACCCGCTACACATCCTTTACCGGTGTCACGTTTGGAGTATGTTCCTTTGGTCGCCATTACGAAAAGACTAACAGCTGATTTTTGTGTCCTACTTATTGCGTCATCAGACCACGTGCTTAATTGAAAAAGTTCGTGTGTCATTCAATAAAACTCTGAACTTTGAAATGGCGTAAAATCAAAACGGATTAATATTTTTGAATTCTGTTTTTTGCTTTTGATTTCAAATGAACAAAAGTTTCAATTTTGGTAGAAGACTAAGAAATGACGATGAGATGTCATAACCACTTTAACCCACCTAAAAGATATAAAGGTTTCAGTGACATCAAAAAAAAAAGATACGGACACTTGACATTATTATTTGATTTTTTCCTTGGTTGGAAAGAGCTGTTCAATACACATATTAGCAGGAAGAACTGCAATGAAAAGCACAGGTTTCATTTAGAAAAGAAAAGAATTGCGTTATTTGAGTGTTGATTGTAAAACATACTTCAAAGTCAAAATCATCTCTTTTTGTATTCGTTTCTATTTTATTCTTATAACGATATATTTTGTCTGGGGCCACGTTATTTCTTTTTCAGACAACTACTTGTAAAAATGCTTCTTATCATGAATAACGGCCCAAGAGTCACCATCAGATTCCAAATGCAATTAGAAATCGATGCATAATGCTATTTTTACTCACCTTCTACTTCATTTTGATGGGCTTTGAAAGGGTTGCAGCAATTCTTTTGGTATAGCAAAAACCTCTGTGTTACAACTTTTTCATGATGAAAGCATATATCTGCATCGACATTGATAATAGAGACACCTGTCCTCCACTTTATAACTTCTCTTGCATCTACATCAAATGAATCTAGCCTTTTAAGACCGACTTTCCTACAGAACTTCAACTGATGACAAGAATCTCCTAAGTATTCTCCTACAGTACAGATCTTTGTGCTTGCCATGATTCAGTTTTGCATTCCAACGAATTTTTAGCTGACTACCACTGCCCTTTCAGCTATAAGAAAATGTTAATAAAGGAAATGAATGACAACTGAAACGGCTGGGATCGCAACTGTGTTGAACTTATGAATTGACCCTTAGAAAGATTTCCTGTGAAAAGCTGTATAAGACACTCACTATATTTCCTGATTTCCTGTGAAAAGCAGGAAATCAGGAATCTGACTTGTTGGTGTTAACAGAGGTCAGGAGTCTCTGTCAGGGTTACTAGTTTGCTGCACTGATTTCCTGTGAAAAGCAGGAAATCAGGAATCTGACTTGTTGGTGTTAACAGAGGTCAGGAGTCTCTGTCAGGGTTACTAGTTTGCTGCACTGATTTCCTGTGAAAAGCAGGAAATCAGGAATCTGACTTGTTGGTGTTAACAGAGGTCAGGAGTCTCTGTCAGGGTTACTAGTTTGCTGCACTGATTTCCTGTGAAAAGCAGGAAATCAGGAATCTGACTTGTTGGTGTTAACAGAGGTCAGGAGTCTCTGTCAGGGTTACTAGTTTGCTGCACTGATTTCCTGTGAAAAGCAGGAAATCAGGAATCTGACTTGTTGGTGTTAACAGAGGTCAGGAGTCTCTGTCAGGGTTACTAGTTTGCTGCATCCTGCTCAGCTATGTTTTGTTTCCGTTTTAGACATAAGTGAATGAGAGGGTTCATTCAGAAAAATGTAACCACGAAATATGATTATTCTGATATGCATTGAATCTAGAACCAACAAGTTTATCATAAACAGCAGCTTGATAACTAAACTAACACATCTACCAGACTTTTACAGAGATTTTACAGAGGACAGGCCTCAGCTCCCTATCAGTTTATATTTTACAGCCCTCAAGCCCCCTACAACCTTTCAGCATACATGCCACACCCTTAGCCAACACCCATGTACACACCCATGTCCCAAACTGATTTATATGCATTATTCTAGCAGTATGCTGATAAATTGTAACACAAAAAGATCCTTAAAAGATCAGTCCCTGCTTTTTCGTATTTTTTAAATTTTTTTCAGCTAGCAATTTGCTAATTTTAAACAGGGCAAAGAAGACGAAAGAGGCATTTACAGTACCTAGCATTTCTAGGGCTATATTTTTGTAAAGACAAATATAACCCTGCGATGTCTTTGTAAAAGAGTTACTTATGACCATAGCTTCGTGCTTAGAAAATTTGAAATTTATCACAGGTGTGCAACATGACAACAATTTGCATAACATCTTGACAACTCGTTGCTATGACAACAACTGCTTCTCATTTATTAGTTAATTACAGACTGTGGGTGTCTTTCACAAATTTTTTATAACTTTATTTGAAATCCTCATACATAAATCAGTCAAAAACATGATTTTGACATCAAGATGCTAAGTAGAGAAATTTATTTAGTATATTCAACCTCTGGACTTAATTCAAAATGGCGGACATTGGACAAAAATGCTGAGAATCAGCAAAATTTCAAAATGCTCTATTTTTAGAACAACAAAAGATTTTGAAGTAAAATTTTGTATATGTGTTTATCTCATTGTTATCCCCTTTTCCACAAAAAATGAGCAAATTCTGAGACTTTGGGTTACAAAATGAAGAAATTTGTCCCTGTTGGATCAGCGGCTGGATAATGTTTACATCCTTTCACTGTTGATAATTCGCCTTGGCTCAGTACAGAGCGTACAGAGCTGTCAAATAATCAAAAGGAAATTAAAAGTATGTTATAAAATTTGTTTTATAATTGGC